TGGTATCAGCGTTATCGGTATGCCAGTAACGGCTCAACGGTCATGATACGGGGTGCGGGTGGCAGATCCCAGGCCATGGGATTAGGATACACAATCAGAAGAAAATATATTATTATTGCAACATTTACTCTGTGGTGTTGTGATACTTTGTGCATCGTATCTGCGGCGCCCGACAAGCGCATCTAGAAATTCTAACAGAGGGTGTATGTAACACTAAACGGCAATTTTTGAATGCTAAGACCAAATTTCCAGCTAGCACGATGCCTTGCGACCGCTAAAAGACAGAATTGGCGATTCAGACGACGGATTGCATTTAACTGCGCTATGGTCAACCTTTCAGCTACGAAAGCATCCAAGGGATTGTTCGAAATAATTCTTATCTCTTTGAAAATGGATAGCGATTACTGAATGTGTTGTCCCGTCAATCTACATAAAGTAGAAGGCAGACTCCCGCGCTTGTGCGAAAATTATGTTGGCATTCGAGGCCCGTATCACGTAGTCTTTAAATAATGAAAAAGCAAGTGTAGGAAGACTCTGCACGTGTCAAATTGAAATGCGGAGTGTCATGACTGTGTCATTTAAATGTGATAGTAGCATCTTCGACAGCAACTTTATCAATCCTAAATCCTAAATGATAAATGATAAAATTTAATTTTCGCGATTGACATTGTGTAAGTAAGATTTAATTTTAACGCTAAAGAAAAAAAGACACCTACAATTCGGTAAAGGCAACAGAATTCTTGACTACCTTATGCCATCAACAACCCACCGTCAGATCATCTATGAGCAATATTGAGGATATTATCAGTAAGCTTACAGAATAGATTTGTAATGTATTTTAAAAAGCTCAGATAAACTACATAAACATTAATACTGATGGTCTCACAATCCTGATTTAGAGAGAATTAATAAAGAAACATGAGCAAAGTGCACAAAAAATAGCTGTAGTCACAAAGCTCAGGCTTTTAGATACAACAAAAGTATAAAAATCATTTGTGAAACTGAGAATTTGTAATCAGAGCAGTTTTTGTCCTACAAGATGAGTAAAGTGCACAAAAAGACGAAAAATAGCCACTTTTAAGGTATAAGAAATATGATTATTCTGCATAGTCTATATCACAAATGAAAGGTCCCGTCATTTGGCTTGACCTTTCTGCCAATCGACGTGCTCATCGCTTCTTTCCAATCTCATTTCTGCCTCTAACGCACAAGCACAAGTAGCTCCCGGACTATCATGGATGACGTGTCTTTAAAGCAGATGCAGACGGACGATAAGGAACTCGATAACCTCATTTTTAGTGGTGAGACGGAGGAAGTTTCAACTAAGGAGAACCAACCACAGAGTCATGACGGTGACTCGGATAGCGACGAGTCGAAGTCGATTAAGTCAAGCGATCGCTCTTCAATGAGCAATGTACTGCCTGTAGAAAAACTCAAGAATGGTGCTAGCACAGCCTCCAAGTTTGTCGTGTATTGTTGCTTTTTATATGAGGTTGAAAACTTATGCGTTTGATCTGATTATGTAGGGTACTAGGCCAGACATTCTCTAAGTTTAAGGAAAAGTCAGGAGCTGCATTAGAAGCGGCTAAATCTTCTAATGCTGGTAAAACGATTGCTGGAGGTCTGAACAGTGCTGCCAACGTAAGTCAGGAGAAATATGGCAAGCTGAAGGAGTCGGATGCGTTTAAAAAGTCATCAAATCTTGCTAGTGGCGCATATGAACGGACGTCGCTTGTCGCCTCGGGTGCTTTGGAAAAAGTGCGTTGGAAATCTATGTAATGTGGTGTATGGAGAGATAAATTGACGTGGCTTTTTAATGCTTTGTAGGCTCGTGCGGCATCTACTACGGGATTAGAGAAGGCCAAAACTACGGCGGCGGCTGGTATCGAGACGATAAAGTCGAAAACGGGCAGTAAGAAGGGTGGAGAGTAAATCAGCTGCAAGTTAGTTGTCCTTATTGCTCAAAGCGTGTTGATCAACAGAGCAAGTACTCGTTTCTTGCCGATCTTTGTGGGGAATCTTGAGATCTGCGTCTCTTTCACTGAACTCGCTTCTATACAGAAGCGTTGTTTACGTATTGAGCTGTAGCTAAAGAAACGTCAATACATATAGGTTAATTAGAAGTTTTCATTACGACCCTGTATCATGTTATCATTACTATGTTAATTACATCAGTGGAGGAGGATGAGCTTCGCCGCCGAGCTAGAGCGTGTCACGGAGAGTTTAGCAGCGCTTTGTCGAGAAAACTTTGGTCCTTGTGGCGAAGAAACGCTGCTGTTCCAAGCTCCAGAAGTTCCTCTTATCACAAGCGAAGGGCACGCTGTTCTAGCAGCTTGGAAGCGAGGGCTGGATGGAAATGATCCAGTAGCGACATACCTGCTTGCTTCTGCTGATAGTGTATATGAACAATTAGGAGATGCATCAAGTGAGTTTATTCTACTTATAAATGCTGCAACGAGACTTGCAGCTGAGAAATTAAGACGAGAGCAAAGTGACTGGAACGTCGTCGGCCATACGCGATTATCGAGAGCTTTTGGAGAACTTAAGTGGGAGCTGAAACGCGAGATGGAAACACCAGCGTCCGAGCTTTCGAAGCTGAAGTTGCCTGTATTCATTGACTCATCACAAGAGGTAGCTTGAAATGTTTCATCTATCAAAGAATGGTGTTGTGATGCTAATTGTAAGATGCTAAACAGTTTCGAGACGCGTGTTCAAACATTCTAATCTCTGCCTTGCGCGGAATGCTTGGTGAACGAGCTATGATGTTTTTGGTCGATTTGATCCTCCAGTGGCTATCTCTTTCATCATGCAAAACCGCTAAGCTTTTATACCAACGTGCACAGCAATTTATCAAATGTGCACCCAACGCGATCATTTTCATAGTCGCACCATCAATCTGCACTTCCAATGTAGTTCCTGAAGATGAATTTATTTTGAAAAAGTCGATCGTGACGTCGCAACCTCTGGATATACTCGATAGATGTCGAAAAACAGTTCGATTTGCTTGCTTTACATGTCCTCTCTCGCTGTCTTCTGGATCAAATAGCGTTGAGCTTGCAACGACCACAGATGAAGAATTATTCACAGCACATGACGCAGCACGTTTATTTATGATGAGTTTGATACGTCGTCTTCGAGATATTTACGATGTGCAGCTTGTGATCACCACTGAAGTTCTTGATGAAAGTATTATCGCGGCTTGCACACGTCAAAACATCGCATGCGTTCAATATGCTGAGCCTGAACATATTGAAGCTCTTTGTATTTGCGCCGGGATAACACCCCTCGCTAGTGTTTTTGATGATATACAAGTGGCTGAACATATTGGTAAGTGCACGAATGGAGTCAATCGAATGAAATGCCAACAACAAGCATGTTTACGACTGCGTGGGTTGTCAAATTCAAGGACAAAATGCAATCAAAAGGTAAACGATGAGCGCCGTTTTAATGAGATTATGGTTCCACAGCTTTTGATTCATGCGCCATCAAAAGGAGTGTATAAACAGTATTATGCAGCAATTATCAAGAGTCTACGGGTACTCAGATCCTGGTGGGAACCAGGCAATGATTGCGATGTAAATGTCTATAGCTGCAGAGGTGGAGGAGCTACGGAAGTGGCCGTTGCAAGGTGGCTGCGTGGTACGCATCAATTTCAATCATATGATCAGGTCATGTTCTCTGTTGCTAGAGATGTCCTCGCTAACGCTCTTATTGAAGTCGTGAGTACTTTGCGCTACAATTTACGTGGAGTTAATGCCAGCCAAAGAGGCGAACAATCTTGCAAAAAGAATCAGAGACAACAACTTTTGGACGGATTTGCTCAACTCTGTCACATCAATCGAGAAACTCATAGAGAAGAGTATCCTGGATATACGCTTCACTCTCGAAAAATTCAGACAGTGGCCGGACTTATTTCAATCCCTGAAGTTGTAAACGGTGATCCTGCCATATTAGGATTACTACATCCATGGAGACGTATTGACACACTCTTGTTTCTCGTTCTCGAAAATCTCGAGCAGGTTTTTAGAATTGATCAAGTTTTCTCGAAAAGAACTAAAAGATAATTGTGTCAATATTAACTGGTCAGACCCACATACATTACGTTCGATCTTTTGCACTAATCAGCGAGAAATAGTCAGTAAAGCTATCACCCACGTGAATAACATTAGGAATTGTGGGTGATACTGCATGCTCAGATGACTGCGGGACGTATACAATTCGTGGAACGTGTCTCTCCAAGTCACTGACAACATGACCGTCAACTGTTCCACCATCAAAAATGATCAAGCGTTAATTTTCCTCCTTTGCAATCATAAACATACATTTTCTTACCTTCCACATGAAGATGAGGTTCAAGTTGACGTACAAAAGCAATCTTGCCAACGCTTGTCGTGCAAAAGAGAATCTTGTGCGACTGAATACCTCGACGCACTTTGTCATTACTTTTAAGTACTGGATGCGTAACCACAAACTCACGGATTATTTCCATTGTTTTTGTATCATGGTTACCCGTCACCATACACAACAAATGTACGTCAGCTATGCAGGACAAGTCTGCTAGTAACGCCGGTACTTCATCGTTCATCCATGCTAAAGCTTCAGGATTCATATACTTCAATACTGCATTAATACTGATAGTAATGCATCGTGCACCATTTCGCATGGGTAACACAAGATGTAAACGCATTTGACGATCATTAAGACCTGAAGTCGAGATGGTAGCGCGCTCAGGAAATGAAGACAACGCCGCGGAAGTAGATGGCACCATGCGCGCCAATGTATTGGCCCCATTTCCACGCTGAGTTGCATCTCCCTGTCGAAGTTGTTGTACGTAAACGTAGCCCGTACTTAGCATGACAACCAAGAGAAGAATGAGGATGCCTAGTAAAGTGTCATCGATCATGCCATCCACAACCTCGGGGCTCTTTGCACTCATGACTTTCAATTACAACGATTACGTGAGACTGATGTAAACTATAACCTAGTTCACTTTCGTGTACTGTACACCATCATTGAAAAAAATATGAAAGAGGTTGCAGATGGATGCTTCCAGCAGCTTTACGGCGAGATCGTGCGCTCTATGGTGCGTGAATGAGTACGTTAAAGTACTTGATTGAACGTTGTATCGCTAAAGGATATACGAAATTGTAGCTGGAGTATCAGCCATCACAGACAAAGGATACGAATGCGACACCAACTGTAGAAGAAGAGGCAGCACATCGTGAAGCTTTTATTATCAAGCTTGAGGCCATGGGGTACGATGTTGGCTCTCGCTTTGCGGAACGAATTGCTAGAGATCGACCACGTATGGTTGAGTCGTTGGATGTGATTAAATTCGTGTGTAAAGATTTTTGGATTGCTATCTTTAAGAAACAAATTGACAAGCTCCAGACAAATCATCGTGGAGTCTTTGTCGTCCAGGATTTCCATTTTCGATGGCTAGCAGGAATTTCGGCAGCAACAGATGAAGAGACAAGAGAGAAAGCACTTGTATTTCTAGTCTTTCCTTGTGGAATAATTCGAGGAGCACTCGCTAATCTCGGACTTACTGCCATTGTCAATGCTGATATACCCGATGTCCATGCTCTTCCTGGATGTACGTGCAAGCATTATATCATTTCACAAGTAACGAGATTATATTGTTCATGTGGTAAAATTTGGGTAGGTTTATTTAACATTAAGCTCAAGCAGGGATGACCTTCTAGAAAGCGCCATTACTTCAAGGCAATCGCCTTAATTTAAAAATGCGCGAGATCCTTTATTTTTGTATCGTTTTGTCATGCGCTGAGCTTCATCCAGTATCATCAAGCAACGACTGTTTGCCAAAATTCTCGATAAACTCATCCAGCTCGTCTGTATGACCTCCACGAGCACGACCTTTAGGCAAATGATCTGGTCGGTAAAAGTCAACAATCAAAACTAATCGCGTTGCTTCAGGATGGTGATTGAATGCGTAGTGCAGCTTGCTGTCGTCGAACACTATAAATTTACGTTCGCTATGGTAACACGTCTCTCCACCTACCACCATAGCACAGCATGGATCGCCGTTGAATAGCGTAGGTACTATAAGAGGAAAATGGACTCGAAGAACATGGTTAGCTAAGTCTGCCCAGCCTCGATGTGCAGTCAAAGTCATGTTAGGACCAAGCTTCGAAAACAATGCAGTACGAATGTTTGGTAGGCTTTTAAGGATCTCTGTTGTACGTGGACACATCAAGCATGTGGAAGGTACCCACGTCGTTTTGGATGCGTCAAAGGCTGGAAATGTGTAGCAAAATGGAAAGACACGCCATTCGCTATCGCCTTCGTTATAGTGTTTCTCCGGCCAAAATGGCCACTTAGCGATCTCTTGCACGGCTTGCATCTCTTTTAATATCACATCGAAATTTTTTTTTAAACGGTCAAGTTGTGGAAAGAGGTCTTGGTATGGGTAGTAATTGGGCATATCATCATCCTGAATCTCTTCATCTGATGAAGAGTCCACGCTCTCATCAATCCACTCTTGTTGGATATCTTCTTCATGATATAAACCAGTTTTCCGTAGACACAACAAGCGAAAGCTCATTCGGTCTTGACGCATTTGTTCATAGAGCGGTGAGTTCTCGATTAAGAAAACAGTCTCGAGCTCTTCATGAAACTTTTGAGGTGTCAATTCATGTATCAACTGTCGTATGTTGTCAGAATTAAGTTTTGCACTCATCGCTGCTTCGTACGATATCAATTGCTCGTGTACGACTTCAAAAAGTGAAACTTGGTCATCTTCAGACAAAGTGGGGGACAAAATCGACTGCTTTAAGTGATCTGATGCCGCGTCAGATGGAATGAAATCCGCAACAAACAGAAGTCCACCAGGTCTTAGTACACGTGCAATCTCATTCATTGCTTGAGTTAAATTCTGCACTTCTTGCAAGCTCTGCACAGCAACGACTACGTCTATCGATTGAGTGAGTAATCCCTTCATTCTCTCGCATGAGTGATGATAAAGCTGTAGTTTTCGTTCTTGAAACTCTAACGTCTGCTTTGTGAAACGATCCCAAACCTCCTTACTGCGTTCTAATGCTTGACTTGATATATCTAAACCCATGATATCAGCGTGAGGATACAACATTTGCAGTTCACATAGACCGCCACCTGCACCACATCCTATATCCAGTATAGTTAAAACCTTGTTCTTTCGCATATTGTGCTGCGCATCGACATCCATTAGCTTGTCATATAGCTGCAGTTGAGATCTGTCTGCTTGATGCTGCGCATGAAATTTGCTGGTAAAGTCTACAGTTCCGATAGCAGTGGTTGCGATGGCCACTGCGCTCGAGTTTGTGGATGTATCATTACGATGAAAACCCACATTACAACATACGAGGTGGTGCTCTGTGTAGAGTGGTGAGTGGAAAATACCATCGTAAAACTCACGGACGCTACGATCGCCCGCCTTGCTGCCGGCGTCGAGTTCCATCCACCACGATCCTACTGAGAAATTTCACTAATCTTGCTTGGAATCAGATTGGAGTTACGAAAATTGAAAAGAAGAATTACTTTGATGTATTTGTCAAATGTGAAAAAGCCTACAGGATGGGAAAAAATATGCAACGAGGTTGCCGTGCATCTTGCGTAGAGAAAGCTTCAACATAACGAGTTTGCATTAATTACCGCACAGAGGATGGACGTGTATGCATCTGGGAGCGAAACGGAGAGCCTCTAATGTAACTAAATCAAGGATCTCTTTCATACTCAAAATTGCCGACTGACATACCGGAAAAAGCTCGGCTGTATAGCATCAATAATGCTGACAACATATCTCGTGGTTCAGGCCTCATAACACCGGAAAAAGCTACGTCTTTCCCAGTGTGCAATGGCTACACGCAGCAAAAATGGTCGTCTCCTGCAATGCGAATCATTATGCGTAAACTGTAATAGATAGTACTATCGAAGCCTCAGGCGTTATGCACGTACTGAATTATAAGGCCAAGCTTACGGAGTATGAGGCTTAACAGTAAAAGAAATAGTAGATTCAACACAGATTACTCTCTAATTGAATCCTCGTCAAGATAACATGCACTATCACTTGCCGTGGGGTTCTTTCGGCTCCTGCTTTGCTATAGAGACCAGTACACTTGATCAAAATTACGACTGATCGATGAAAAAGCACCGTAATCTTTTCAGTCGCAATGTAAACAGCCCCACTCAAGCCCGTCGGCACTTGAAATGCAGCCGTTTTGGAGCTGTAACTGTGGGCGCCTTTTGATTTTACTGCTCTATTGATGCTGTCGACGCATCTGAACAAAATACTCAGTCCAATGCAAAAAACGCATTTTTTTTAACCTCCAGTTCAAATCTGCTTTAGACAGGAATTTTGGATTAGATTTGGTGTGTGGGTACAACTCACGATGTAAACCGCCTTGCCAGCCGCAGCATAGAATAGGTCATCTCCGCCTCCAATATTATCAATACAAAGCTGGTGATATCAACTACTTGCAATCTATTGCATACATATTCCAAAGATGACGTTTCAAGAGCTTCTAACATACCCTTGGACTGCCCCGGTACAAGCGTATATAACTTTTGTTAAGAATCGCTCAGAGATAATGTGTAACGGGTTTACACGTACCTTTGTAAGAAAGGGCGGATCGCAGAAGATTGTACGACCGTACATAAATGTGTATTACATAGTTAGTGTAATCACACAGTGGTGTCGCTACCCCGTAACAAGATGCCACCACGTGGCCGAATTGCCAAAAGTAATGCGGATGGAGGAATACCCCTATTTGCGCCAGGGCATGCAGGACGGGCTAAATAAGCTGATGTCCCTGCTGGGCCCTGAGGGCGTGAAGCACCTCATTGCGCAAGGACCCGAGGCAATAAGCGCGCCTAGAGGCGTTTCCTAGTTATGTTAGAGAACTTACAGCAGAAGCTGTCAGCGTCGACTGGTCTATGACGCCCCCGTCGACGAGCGGATGATTCCTTCCGACCCAGGCCGCTCATTGTGAGCGTTGAGATCTTCGAGGGTAAAGATGGGCAAATCACCTGCTCTGGATTTGAGAGGTCAAGATGGCTATGGCATCTGCCATGCTCCAAAACGAGCAACAGCGCGTGGCGCTAGCTATCTCCAATCTCGGGGCCGAGCTCGAGAATGGGCACTAATGTGCGGTGCTTCGGTTGAAGCTGCATTTCTCTCCTGGAATAAACTGAAGCGTCAGTTTGTGCGAGTGTTTTCGCCGCCTAATCAGGCTTATCGCGTGAGATCGCGTTCTCTTGCTGCCCGACAGAGCAAGAAGGAGTTGGTGGAGTTCGCCCAAGAGTTGAGAACTCTTATTGCCGGGATGGCATCAGATCCTCCCCCAAGGTGGCCGCAGTGACAGTCTTTATGGAGGGCCTCCGCACTGGCGTGACCAGAGTATAAGTCTTCCGTGTGCATCCGTCTTCTTTTGAAGAAGCGGTGGAGGTGGCATTGAATGCCATATTCAACTCCAAGTCGGCACGACTTGGTTGGAATGCACAGCCTCAGAGATCGTCGAGCGGGCCTGAGACAGAGGATCTCAGCTATGCTGAGAAGGAGGAGGGAGGTCTCCGAGCTACCCGACGGTGTTTTGTTTGAGGATACACCCGTCACGTTCGGACGGGTTTTCCCTTGCACAAGGTGCGTAAAGATTCGTCGAACCGACATCCTGATACTAACCAGTCTGGCTCGTTGCAAGGAAACAAGGAAAACCAGTAGGCGCGGGGCGCCCCCTCGGGGGCGAACTGAGTTCTGTTGAGCCTCAAAGAGGTAGAGGGCAGCGGGCCCGGCCTCAAAGAGCTGCGTGTTCTCGAACACGGAATCTATGTGCAAGTGACCGTGGAGGGCTTTTGATAAGCCATAAAAAATCTTTATCGAACCTGGTGCGTCAGGCAATTATGCTCGACGCTCCACGATTGAAGGAAGTCAGCTGTATGCACGCAGCGCGGTTGAGTAGCACCGTCACTGTTCGCTTAACGACGGGGACACGTGTCACGGTCCCGAAGGTTCCTGTGGACCTCGGTGTCAAGTTCCTTGTCTTTGATAACCTGGAACGCTATCTAGTCGTAGACTTGGCTGATGGTGTGACCTTTTCCTGGATATGGCATGGTTGAAACACTATAAGCCATGGATTGATTGGAGGTTGAAGACCTTGGGCGCTACGCGCACGTCTTCTAGTGGAGCTTCGGTGAGTCATGAACCCACTTCTGCTAGGAAGCAGAAGCACTATTGGCACAGGCACTGGACCGGGACGGTCAATGTGCTGGATGTCAAAGTATCCGAGTGTCAAACACCAAAGGTTTTTTTGGACAAGAGTCTTGAGTGCGGCTCGCGGGCTGGACGTGGA